GTCTGTGGTTGTTTGAGCGTAATTTATTATTGTTAAAAAAGGTTCAGGCTGAGGATATTCATAGCCAGGTTAAACTCTATGAGGCTGAATTTTGGGTGCAAGTGCATGATGCTGCGTATGGTTTTATGAATCTGAGTTTTGCTAGAAAGATTGGTAATTACATTGGAACTTTTATCTATGATGTTGTGTATGGTTTTATGAATCTGGGTTTTGCTAGAAAGATTGGTAATTACATTGGAACTTTTATCAGTTTTGATGATAAAAAAATCTAATTCTGATGAAAATTTTAAGTTTTACTTGAGAATTAGGGTTCGTATGGATGTTAGGAGACCTCTGAAAAATGGTACCACACTGAAGAAGGTGGGTTTTAGTCAATGGGTAAATTTTAAATATGAGAAACTCCCAAATTTCTGTTTTGTTTGCGGTATTATTGGACACTCTGACAAGTTTTGCCCGGTAGTATATGAGGGGGAAAATATCACTTTTGATAATAAAAAATTATGGAGTCGAGCTGAGAGCGGGGACGGGGGTGAAGACCAGTCTCACAAGAGGCACAAAGTGGCTTATTGAAGGATCATCAAGCACTGAGCTGGGAATGTCTGAAGGGAAGGATGCTGATAAACAGAACTGGAAGGATGTTACAAGAATTGGAACTAGCTCCATAAAGGAAGAAAACTCGGTTAGTCCGGAAGAGGTTTCAGGGGAACCAAAGCTCAGAAGGACCTGGGAAGAGGAACAACATGGAGATGCTACAAAGGAAGGCATGGCGCTGAATGGTCCAAAAAATGGCGAGGAGGCGGACCTCCTGTAGGTCCGCCGGTCTGTACGGGTGGTCCGAAAGGTTCAAGGATGGCGGCGGCGCTCCTGGCTTGGAAAAAGACTCCTTAATTTACTGCTTTATTTATTTTTATTGTTGTTAATCAGACTTTGTTTCTTTCTGTCTTTATTTCTTTCAATTGTAAGACTCTTGCATTAGGATTGGGTGAGGTTTGGTATGCTTCAATCGTCTGTGGCTCAGGTTTGCCCATTAATGGATCAGCGAGTTATATTACTTGTTTGAAGGTGATTCACTCTGAGTCTGGTTCGCGGGCTGACAGTTGGATGTGGTTCATTACTTTTTTTACTCCTTTCTGAATGCTAAGGCTTTAATATCAATTTTAGCCCCTTCTTCCAAAAAAAAAATCTAGAATTATAAGATTAGAGTAAAGAATTCGCCGCCTAGGGCTACCAATACGGCAGCACCTAGTTTCGTTTCCCCGCTGCCAACGCTTGGCGTTCGGGGCGGTGGCCTTCGTTTTTTCGGACTTCTTTTAAGGAGTCTCGGCCTCGGTATTTTCCTAAGTTAAGGATTGGAAGTAGAGTTTGGCGTTTTGGAGGCGGCAGTCCCAAGGGTCATTTTTTGTGCAGGTCGAAGCGGTGTCGAGCCTTTGGTATTCTTCGAACCTGCGAAGGGGATGGAAGGATTTGTGGACAAATACAAACAAATGGCAATTGGAACGGAGGAAGAGGAGTTGGACCTGGATGGGGGAGAAACGGAGGAGAATCCGGTGGAGGAACAAAATCCGGGATTTCCGGTAGTGGGAGTACTACTAACAAATAGGAAGGTGAAGTTTTCAGCCTTTAAGGAGCTTATGTTGTCGCTATGGCAGCCCGGAAAAGGTATGTCTTTCAAAGATTTGGGTGATAAGAGGTACCTTTTTACTTTCAATCATCGCTTTGATATGAATCGTGCTATTGAGGGAGGACCTTGGCAATTTGAGCGTAATCTGTTGTTGCTAAAAGAGGTTAAACCTGATGATATTCCGCATAAGATTGTTTTAAATGAGGCTAATTTTTGGGTCCAAGTTCATAATGTTCCTTATAGTCTGACCAATTAAGGTACTGCAAGAAAGTTAGGGAACTTTATTGGAAAATTTGTTAATTATGATGATAATCAGAAAAGGGAGAAACTGGAGCCTTATGAGAATTAGGGTGTGTATGAATGTGGACAAACCGTTGAAAAGGGGCACTAATCCGAAAAAAAAAGGAAAAAGTTTTTTGGGTGGATTTTAAATATGAGAAATTGCCCAATTTCTGTTTTATATGCGGATTAATAGGGCATTCAGCTAAATTATGCCCATTAAATTATGAGAAAGGTTTGGTTCTGGAAAATCGGTTTGGGGTTCAGCTTAGAGCAGGGTTTGGGGTGAAGACTAGCCAAACAGGAGGAAATAAGTGGCTTGGGGAGGGTTCATTGAGCTCTGCCGGAAGCCACGGCTATATGGGGGATTTCAAGTCAGTTGATAAGCAGGGTGGAGAGAAAAAAGAGTTTGTCTCAGAATCAGCGCAGAGTATGACTAAAGGCGGGGAGACAAAAGAAGAATCTTCAGGGGAACAAAAGAGAAGAAGAATATGGGAATCTCAAGGGGAAGAAAAGAGTGAAGAAGACAACATGGCACTGGATGGGACAAAAAACGGAATGGGGGCGGGCTTCGGTCTGTAAGTCCCCCACAGCAAATCCAGATGACAGGGATTCGGAAGTTGAGGATGCTCGTGTGGTTTGGAGAGCTCGAGCAGAATTTGAAGTTTATTTGTTTTGTTTTTTCATTTGAAGACAATTTGTTGTGTGTTTTGTTTTGTTTTGTTTTTGTTTTTTCTGCTTGTAAAACGATGTATTTGGATGGGGTGATGGAAGGATTGCGGTAATTGTCCTTGGCTGCTCATTAATGGATCAGCGAATTATATTGCTTCTTTGGAGGTGATTAATTCTGAGTCTGGTTTGCGAAACGGCGGTTATCAGGAATCTTTTTGTCGGATTACCTACTATCTAAATGATGTGTTATCAATTTAAGCCTATTTCTGTAAAAAAAAAAAAAAAGATTAGAGTAGAAAACAATGACAATTATTACTCCCTAAGTTTCTAATTCCAAAAATTTCACCACTTTATTTTCCCCCCAAAGAGTGACCTGGTATGGTGGCTCTCCTCCCTCTTTTCCGTCGATTGTGAGAACTGAGAATGACAAACCATTCTGCGCATCTGCACCAAATCGGATCTTTCTTCTCCGCCCCAAATCGATCTTTCTTCTTGGATCCAGCTCCTGCGCAATTCATCAATCGAGCCCATCTCTATCACTTTCTTTCTTCCTCTAGCAAGTCTACATGTCAAGCAATCACTAGAGAGGACGCAATTGCAATAGTAGGGACGACGATTTCGTTGCGCTTCTTCGCCATCGCCATATCGATTTAGATCCGGATCTTCTTCGTCTTCTTAACAGCCATTCGTTTCGTTTTTGGGGATGGGGCGGGGGCGACTGGACGGGTATAGGTGGCAGCCATTGGGGGACTGGAAGGTCAGGGAGGGGCTGGGAAGGTCGGGGAGGGGGTGGTGCGGCGGTGGGGAACTGACGGTGGTGTGGGGCAGTGGTGGTGGTGGTGCGAGGCTGGGGAGTGAGGGACAGTGACGGTGGTGTGGTGGTGGGGCAGTGGTGTTGTTGTAGTGGTGGGGCAGTGGCGCAAGTGCTTGGGAGTGGTGCAGGGAAGGAAGCGGTGGCCAGAGTAAATGTGTGTCACCGTGGACGGTGGACGGATAGTGAAGCGACAGTCGGGAACTGACAGTGGTGTGGGGTAGTTGCAGAAGGTGTGGGGCTGAGGAGTGGGGGACAGTGAAGGTGGTGTGGGTGTGGGGCAGTGGTGGTGGGGCTGGGGTGAGTTGGTCACCGGCGAGGAGGTGGTGACTGGCATAATTTTGTGTCATTGTGTCCGTCAGCGGCAGTGACACAGGACAGCGTCAAGAACCGTGACATCCAATAATGACATGAAAATTGGACAATAAAATGGGACATGGATAATTGGAAATGAATAATTGGACAATGACATGAATAATTGACTATCATTTTATTTTGATCACTTTTTTGCCCAAATATAAATGGGGTCCCATTTTTGGAAATTTGTTTAAACCTTGGTTTGCAACTCCTTTTAAAAAAGCAATTTTCAGCTTTTGGCTTTAAAAATGCACTTATTTTCCCAAACACTACAACTTTTTTTTTCTCGGCTTCCGCGTCAAAAGTGCTTTTACTTTTTCTATTAGACAAAAAACATTTATTTTACCAAACACTACCCACTTTTACTTTTCAAAATCACTTTTTTCTCAAACACTATCAACTTTTATTTAATCACGCCTCCCCATTTCATTATAAAAAACACTTTTTTAAAAGCAGAAGCTGTTGCAAACAGACCCTAAAATCCCTTAGAGTAGTGCGCACATTATTTAGCTTGTTTTCTTACAATTAAACATACTAGTCGATCGACCCGTGCGTTGCATGAAATTGATTTATTTTTTCTTACACATAGTTATTGTATAAAAATTAAAAAAATGATGTAGTTATATATTAGGCTTCAATGATAAATGTTAGATCTACATGAACCATTATAAAATTACCTCTAACTATTCTTCCATAACCAATTCTCTTGATTGTCTAATGAAGATGATTACAATTAATACCATATTACAATCTCACATTATTTAGTGATAACTATGATTGTTATACTATACATTACATTTTACTCTCTTCCGTGTACTTGATATATGTAGTTAAAATAAAAATCCATTTTCACTTCTTATAAACAATAAATTTTGTCTAAACTTGAAATATGTTGTGCTTTAAAGTTTCTAAATATGTTCAATCCAAAAGTCAAAATGTTTATTCTATAATAATACCTCTTTTCTCCCATCTCATCATATGTGCTATAAAGACTACACATATAATACTTGTAATAAATATAAGCATAAATGGTGGGACTTTATCCCACATGCAAATTTGTGCAACACAATTTTTACTTTCTTATTTCATTTTCAAATCAACTTTTGCAACACTTTAAGAAATCAATAGAAAAATATAATATACGAAGTACTTTTTTTTATTGAAAGAGGAGAATTATAATAAACATCATTAGCATTATAATAATTACTGTAACCTACGGTTACTATGTAATACTTAGGAAAATCACTATAAAATATACTACCTAGCCACTTCATAAGCTAGCATTATACAGTAACCGTAGGTTACAATAATTATTACGGAGTACTACGTATAATGCTTCATAAATAAGCATCTTAAATAACTTAATATACTCTATAGTAATAGAATATATTATTAGGATACTTGTTTCCTTGTATGTCTCAAACTCTTTCATATATAAATATATCTGTCAGGACTCATATTGGAGCACTTTTTTCCCATTATTTCACATGGTATCAAGAGCCTAAAAGAAAAACCCTATTTTTTTTCTTTTCTTTCTCTTCACTGTTCCAGTCGCCGCCGCCCGCTGCCATGACGGACGAACTCCACTCTTCGGCGCCGCAGACCACAACAACACCGCCGTCGCTGCCTCTTTCTACGCAGGACATCGGTCCGATCTCTTCTGCCATGACGTTTGCTTCTCAGCCGATTTCTCCTCCTTCGACGGGAATTATCACCAGGCCGCCGCCTTCACTGGATCCCGTGGTTTCTGCCCCCTTCTCGCCATATGCTGCGGCGCAACCCTACTCTCTCTTCAACTCGCTGCCGCCCCAGTTCCCGTGGCAGTCCGTGCGTCAACCTCCTCCTCCAACCAGTGCTCCTCCACCGCTAACAACACCTCCTGCTTCTCCATTTTGCGGTCCTTCTTTCGCTGGTTTCCCCAGAAATAATTCGGCCACAACATGACACTATTTTTGGCTCTCCTATGGCAGCCATGGCTCAAGCCGTGTCTCATGGGATCGCCAACGTTGGCCAGATTGTTACAATCAAACTAAAAGCAGTTGAAGACTATCTCACATGGTGCACACAATTCAAATCGTTCCTGGTGTCCCAAGGTCTTTTTGGCATGTTAGACGGCTCTATCCAGGTACCTCCCTTATACACTCTGGATTTTAATAATCATCAGGTCGTTAATACTGATTATTACCATTGGCTTCGAGTAGATCAAACAATTCGTTCCTGGTTGTTTGCTACTTTATCTCGTGAAGTATTAACTGATGTGCATGATATTAAAAATTCATTGGGTATATGGGAGCGGCTACAATCCAGATTTATGTCTGCCAGTTTACCTAGAGCTATGGAACTCAAACGTTTATTGTCTAATACCCACAAGAAATCAAATCAATCCATGGAGCACTATTTACGTGAACTTAAAAATCTGGCTGATGCTTTAGCTGCAATTAATTCACCTGTGACTGATAAAGAATTACTACAAAGAATTACTACAAAGCACAGTTTGAGGGGGTGTAATAGAATATATTATTAGGATACTTGTTTCCTTGTATGTCTCAAACGCTTTCATATATAAATATATCTGCCAGGACTCCTATTGGAGCACCTTTTCCCATTATTTCACATGTAGTACTTGGTATATTTGTGCTATTGTCATCATTCATATATGCTATTTAATGGTCATAATAAAACATCAATTAAGACACTTTAATAATGGAATTGTTGGCTGCAAATACATTTTCACCTGGATTTCCACCATGTTACTTTTATAAAGATAAAGATTTGTATTCATGCCCACCTAATAAAGTGGTTCCACAAAAGCAATACAAACATATGTAAGCCGTAAAAATGAGGATTTAGTACAAACATTATCGTTTACTCTTTGAACTGAATAAATTGAATGATTACAGCATTATGAAGAGCGGGTATTATGCATGCTCGGGTAGAATGTACACGATTCAAAAAGCCAGTGTGTATCAAGTAATCTTAAATGTAAATTTATTGGAAACATAAAGGTTATGTATTTATACATGGCATCGAAGATTCGGGGGTTATTAAGCTATGCCGCCCAATAGTTTGTTTTGTACTTTTTGTTAATTCATTCATTAAACAGATTTAGGCGGCGAGCACTGCCACTCCAGGCCTCAATGCTGCTGGCTATCCATTTTTATAGTGTAGGATTTTTAGACCCCCAACGGCTATATAGCCCCGATGCTGAAAACAAAACAAAAATGAATGTTTGGACCAAAGTTGAGACTGCTCAGTTCGGTCCCAAAAATTATAACTCCGGATCGGGTACCCGAATTTCTGGACCTGGTTCAGCCCCAAACTCGTAAATGTAGAGAAAATTACCCCTCTTATGATTAAAAGAATATGATGTTCTCAAAGTATGATTCCATAAGTTTTTTTTTTCCATAAGTTTTTTCCTAATCTAATGCTCCTATAACGTACATGGCCATACACGTGCCTCTATGATTTATTTTAATTCCAATCATGTCCTTTACTAAGCAATAAATAAGTACAGAGTAGTTATTTCCTCCAAAAAAATAAGGATTTAATTGAAAATGAATTAATTCCATTCTGGTAACTAACTACCAAGTGCCTAGTAGTATGGCTGTATGGATGTAAAATTGTAAATTACATTATTATTGTTGTTGCTGCTGCTGCTACTACTATATTAAATTATTATTGTTGTTGTTATTGTTATTCCGGATATTATTATATTACATATTCGGACCTTGTTTTTTTAGTATATCATATTTTCCATTTCTTACTACACATGTACACCAGTATTACAATATATATCAGGGCAGTAAATTCTTACTACACCAGTATATATCAGGGAAGTAAATTATTTAGTATAGTGTCCTCATTATGTATGTTATAATTTCACATGTTCAAATATTGTCCTCCTATATATGGGCAGTGAAGTACACATGATCTAATTTCTTAGTATTAGAGATACTCTTGGTGATTTACTTTCGCTAATGTATTCATTTAATTGTCAAATGTATTATCATTTATGTAACAATTGAGCAGTAATTTATTTATAAATTGTCCTCATTTTCTCTAGTATTGATTTAATTGGTATATTTATTGCCCTCACTTTTTTCTATTGATTTACTTTTATTGTCATCATGTGGGCAATAACTTATATTATTATTGCCTTTACGTTTACTGCAATATTGACTTCTATTACTGCTTTTACGTTTACTAAAATACCAATTAAAAAAAGTAGGAAGTAGTACGAAAAAGGTACCTGTGGTTTGAGCCATTTTCAGATAGGGACATGTTTTTCCTTTTTTAACAAAATGACACATGTGTTTCAATTCCGTTATCACAGCTGGGCATGCCGTCTAACGCCGTTAAAAAAATGAACTCCTATTCTCAAAAGTTTTCGAAAAATTAAAAAAAAAAAGCTGGGAGATACGCCTCGTCAAGATACGCCTCTAGTATAGATATGTGATATGTCTATAGAAATAGTTCGTTAAATCGTTTTGTAAAATAATTCAATATAAACTCCAATATAAATATAATTGTAGACAATATTGTCAAGTTTATACATGCAATAAAATGTTATACAATTACTTATTCCTCTTTAAAATATGACTCTAGGGCATTAGGAGTAGAGGTCACGTTCAAGGTTTCTACAACTTTAATTACATTGATTCTCTCCCTACAATTTCATTTTGTTTTCCTTTTAAAAAAAATCCTTTTTTGTTAACCGTGTGTCCACAAGGAATGTCCAGGATAACAAAGTAACTTTGCATCTTTATTAAATATCCTGCATATGCACATATTTAGTCATACGTTAAACAGAATTTATTTTTAGTCATACATTGGGAAAGTCTCTTTCTTTTAGTCATATAACTGCATTTTCCCCAAAAACATACCTAGTCTGATCAGTAACACTACCAGTCTGGAATGGGTGATGGATTGTATGTAAGAGTCAGGTTATATAAAGGGAAATTCTATTTACAAACACCCATTTACTATAAACACAGCCCACATTTTTTTAATTCTCATCCTACCCTTATTACGTATCAAACACAGTTACACAGTCTCGGCAATCGCACATCCACTGGGCGATGCAGGATGCAACAAAGCTTTAATAATAATGATGATGGCTACTCTCTTCTGATATTGACGCTACTAAGTACTAACTATACATACACACATGTATAGCAGTATAGATATAAACTCACAAAGTAATTAGGAATTAATTTGTAGTTGTATTCCTTCCACCAATTTCTACTGCCAAAGTTTTCCAAGACACATAAGTTGCTATCTTCTGCTTGGGCTTCGGGTAGCTGTAAGTGAAAGACATGTCTAGATCCTTCCGCCTTGGAGTGCTCCCGGACGAGTGCCTTCCTGTTATTGCCTCCTCAAGAGTGTCGAGTTGCAGGTTGAGCTCCTCCTGTTCTCGCATCCGTTGTTCTTGCGTTTCTTCTAATATAGTTATATACTTATATAGGGTTGATATTAGATTTATTTTTTTATTTTTTTGGCAAAAGATTTATTTTTATTTATTAATATTTAATTTAATGGTTGTGATTAGTAATTTGAGGCTGTGAATAGAATTTCTCTTATATAAATATATAAGGACACGGGTGGAACTCCATGCTCTAAGTGCAAACCTTTTAGCAAAACTGAAGGTTTGGTTTATAATATTCTCTTGGAGCAAATAACAAGTGCCACAAAATTAAATGCTACATACTCTGTATAAAATAAAAAATATTGCAATGATTATGCATTTTGTTGTAGTTATTTCTCTGATAAAATTGGCTACATCCCAGAGATTCAGAATGACTTTGTTGTGATCAACAAGATCTGAGTTTCCAAGTAGTTCTTTCATTAGTAAAATGGGGAGGTAGGACCAAAGAATGGAAAAATGAATGTGTAGAAACATTTGGCAGTGAGATCCTTGAGAACAAGATAGATCATGACGGGGTGGCTGACTTGCCATGTTCAGTCTGGGGGTGTATGTATTTGAACATACCAGCAAGCCCTCTCCCCCTAGCCAGCTGTTCAAGCTCTTCAATCTTGCTTTTAAGCACTTCGATATCCCTCGCTAACTCTTCCTCTCGTTGCCTCACTTGCTGAAAACCACACATTGAAACTATTGCCTCATTTGGTATACAAATTTAACAAGAGTGAAAACTAAATATTGACCAAAATTAATGCGAGGCCAATTACTTATCAGCTCAAAACTGAGAGCCAGTTTAGGGGAACTTATGTAGCGCACGACCTTAATCGTGATTAATTCCTTTTTAAGCACCTAAAGACTTAAAGATCTTGGAGTTTGGATATCGGTTGTTTTCTTAAATAAGCATAATGTTTGACATAAAAAGCGCTTCTTCAATTTCTTGTCAAACGCCTTCTATGATTTATTCATTTATTTTAAAATTTAAATAACCTCGAAGATACTTCAATTCCATTCAATAAAAGTTTCAAAAAATCTGAACATAATAAAGTCAATCTATAGGGAGTTGGAAGACCAAGAGAACAAGAATAGATTTCTGTAGAATCTTGGGAGATGGGGGAGTATGCGACATGATATGCTTCCCGAGTTCCCCCTACATAGACGTGTTGTATTCTGCTCATGAAGCGACCAGAGGTGCCCATTGATGTCAACTAAATCTTTCCAAATTTTATGAGGAATATTTATGAATCCATTTCAACAAGATGTTATGATAGTTTGCTTGTAAACTAGATCTACACCACACCATATAGCATTACCTTACAATCAAATTGATGCTGCACAAATAAGCTTAACATTATGGTCACGTAATACAGCTCCACTAAAAGCTTTCCCAATTCGTAGTGAGGCATCTCTATTGAGTTTGAGGAGTCCATTGGGGGGAGTAGCTAAGTTGTGAGTTTGATTAGAAGCATTCAGAGACCAACGGATTTTAGCAGTGAAAGTGCTTAATTTTCTATATTTCACCACCTCATAAGAAATCTCGATGCGAAGAGGATCTGATGAGGATAAGTCCAAGCCTGTTTTCAAATTTACCTTCATGAGTTCATGGAGATTATAATTTGGACCCCTAATCAATGCTTCAGCCATTAACAAAGAGAGGTAAGGTGATAAGGGATCTCCCTACTTAGAACACCCTTTGCGGGTTGAAGAAGCCAAAACTAACCCCATTGATGCAAAACTACAAAATCGGTTTGTGCTAACTTGCCCAAAAATTTTGGAAACTCTGTCAAAAGCTTTGCCATACCAAGTTGAATAGCAATGTTAGAGCCTCTTTTTTGATGATCCAGCTACTTTAACTTGCCCAAAAATTTTGGAAACTCTGTCAAAAGCTTTGCCATACCAAGTTGAATAGCAATGTTAGAGCCTCTTTTTTGATGATCCAGCTACTTTATTAATTCAAAAGCAAGGACCTTGTCAGTAACTTCTCTTCCTGCCATGAAGCTCATCACATCCTTACCAATCATGTCCCAACATGATTTGAAAAGTTCACTTGTGTAGCCATGTGGCCCTGAAGCACTAAGAGGATAAAGGTGCTAAACTGCTACCTTAACCTCATCAAGCCTCCTGTAATTTTAATAGAAAAGCATAACCATCCAGAGAAACCAAGTTGGGATGATCCTAAGCATTTAAGTGTGATCCTTGGGGGCTTCCTCTTTAAACACATCAGTAAAGAATCTTAGACCCTCCGCCTGTATCTGTTCTTGAACAGCAAGTCAAACACAGTTATCATCTTGAATGGTTGCCTTCTTTCCATCAAACATTTGTGACTTCTATCCTTAACAGTTGCATGAAAAAATGGTATTACTCTCTTTGTCATCAAGCCATTTCATATGAGCTGTTTGAATCCCAAAGATTTCTTCATTCTTAAGCCGAATACATAGATCAGCCCTAGCTTTTGCACAAGGGTCATAATTGCTATCGGATGGACTAGAATAAAAATATATAACCGCCCTCTTGTAACAACTCTTCAGCCTGTTTAACACTATTAAAAACATTGCCAGAGATATCAAAGTTCCATATGCTGAATACCTTCTTCAAGAATAGTAATTTAGCAGCCAGTCTTCACATTGCTCCATCCTTCGTTGAACTTCCCAAGTCTTTTTATCAGTCACGAAAGCTACACATGTTGAAACCAATAACGATTAGGTCCACATGTTTGTACATTATCACCTTTTGACAGAATTAGGAGCATGAATTCAATTGAGCCTTTTGTAGCATCTGCAAAGCTGCCAGCATGTCCACCACCAATCCTAGTATATTCCCATCTAAAGTTTGAAGGCTGCACGAAACACTTCTTTGAAGTAAACATACTTTTCTTCCTATTAAGAGTACTTATTCTTTGAAAATAAGTCACCCCAAACACACCCAATCGCATAGAAACACGAGCATTTTTGGGCCTGAAACTCTGAAGTGTTAATTCTGAGATGAAAAGGATCAAAAGTGACAGGTCTCACTGAAGCGAAGTTTGTGAGGCCACCTTACACAAGTGTTGATAACTCTCTCTATCAAGTATCACCAGTCACCACACCTGCCTATCCATGTTCAGACCTACCATAGGCTTTGCTGGGCTTCAGCCCAGGCTATCAATTTGAAATCCATATATACAGTGCAAAATTTTATTGTATTAATATTAACAGTCCAATCTTGTTATTGATCAGCCCGCCTCATGTCCAATCTAGACTATTGTATTTGTAGTTTTTTGGACCTATGCAAACTCATTTAAACTGCCCAACCATCCACATCCAACAACTCGAGCAACACTTATCTCCTTTTCTTAAACTAAATTCATTATCTAGCCAGGCTCCTCTCAAATTTTGGGTTTGCCCATGTACCTATATCACAATTATATTTATTTATTTACTATTATCATCACATACTTGGTACCAGAGCCATCACGTTCCTGTCCGGTTCATCTTATTCCACACCTTTTCTTTTTTATCACGTTCCTGCTTGGTTCAAATTCTTCCCTGCCCTTTCTATTTTATTTTCCTGTTTAGAATCCTCCAAAAAAATACTGAAGTCAACAAATCAACAATCCAGAATCTTTGGTTATGTGGGATCGGCTTCTGCTCTACTCTGTCAATGGAAAAATGTGAGTAGTTGCAGCTGTTGTTTATTAGTTAGCCCTTAGATTCCTTATTTAAGTTCCCAAAAAAAAAAAATATTGCTGAACCAGCACATCCAACTCTTCAAGCAAAAAGTCAAGAACGATGCAGGTCGATGACGCCTCACTAGTGACAATACTCCACAGTGCAAATTGGTATATGCGTGGCCAAGAACGTAAGTAAAAAACTTCAAGAATTGAATGTCTCAATCTCTGAAAGACTGAAACAACCAAGGCTCTTGCAAATGCTGTGCAGGGATCTGACTGCCGCTACAAGAAAACTTGCTTCTATCAATATTCCTCCTTCAATGCAGACTTTTGAAACCGCAGAGGAAAAAGTGTCATGATGTCCTGGCCCCTGGGACTGGACGTCAAAATCGTCGACCTTAACATTATCAAACATGGTTGTTTGTTCGTCTCTTGTCCTCAAGCTTGATGTCCAAGAGGAGGGTAATGATATGGGTTTTGCAGGAGGATTAAGAAAGTGAGAATTGTGTGGTGGAGAGTTGTGCAAAAGAAAGAGAAATGTGTAAGAATGTGCAAACATTGTTGTGAACCATAAATTCTTTGCCAAAAATAAAAGAAGTGATTATTTTGGAACAAACGAAAAGGGAAAGTTGGAAGATAATTCATGGACAGAGGGAGTTATTATTATTTCTATGTCTGCTTTAGGCAGCTTCTTTATTAGCATTTATCTCCTTTTATAATTATTCCTATTCTGCTTTAGGCAACTTCTTAGTTAGCATTTATTTCCTTTTTTTAAACTTAAGTGACCATGTTACTACACTCTAGTAACAATTAGTCATATTTGTGTAATTAAATTTTATTTTAGTAATATTTTTGAGAAAAAAACTCTACTAATAATTAGAATAACACAATAACGTTAATATATAGGGAAAAGGGTCAAATAAAGTCTTGTACTATTACAGAATCGTCACATAAGGTCATGTACTCAATGAACTGTCATATAAATACGTCTACTTATAAAAAGCAACCGGATGAGTCAAAACAACCCGTTGACAACCTCATAATTCCGATTTTAGCGTACGTCTCGCTATCTTTTTTAAATAGATTATAAGGCTGATGTGAAATATTTGGTCACGATTGGCTTAATTACAAGGCAAAAATAATGACACGTAAGCTAAAAATAGGATTAGGAGGCCGTCAACGGGTTGTTTTGACTCATCCGATTACTTTTTATAAGTAGACGTATTTATATGACACTTTATTGAGTACATGACCTTATGTGACGATTCCGTAATAGTAGAGAGCCTTATTTGACCCTTTTCTCTAATATTTATAGTAATGATGATGAAGTTAATAGTAATAGTAATAACAATAGTAGTAATGTTGATATGATCATGCCGTAGATTTCATATTGATATCATTATATGCCAATTTCATATCAAATTTCAAATGTCCAAAATTGGTGTTCTAGACTTGCACGTAGGAGTGTTTTACATTCCTTAATTCTATATAATGTGCAGCTGGGTTCAATTTGAAAGGAAGCGCAGGTGATTTCTTTTTAAATCTGTTCGTTCTTCTATTTCAACTTTCCCACACCAGCTGGAGAGGAAAGTTAATCCTCTGCGTGGGCTTATATATAAAAGTCACTCTAATTTAGTCTGGTAAACAAGTGTGCTCAATTCTTTTTGGGTCGAGCGCCTTTTGTCACGCCTAATGAGCATGTGGGGCGTTTTGGTTAAGCCTTGCGCTTAGACCTACCTAGGAGGCGCCTAATGACGCCTTTAGATCACTGGTACAACAACAGCAGCATTCAAGCCTTACTCCCAAAAGATTTTGAGTCAGCTAACATGAATTTATCCATTATATCAGAGCCAAAAGAAGAAGAAAGATAAGAAGGATAAAAAGATAAAGTAAAATAAAATGAATACGATACAAATAAATATAAGATAAAAATAACATAAGAACATAAGAAAGTTAAAAGATAAAAAGATAGAGATATTACCCAAAATAGGACTAAAAATGTTTGAAAATTCCAAAATAGGACTGTCATGTTTTTATTCCCAAAATAGGACTAATTAATGCCATGTTTTGGCAGTACCAAACTTCAAACATGGCAGTATTTTCCAAACATGATAGTAATTACTTCTATTTTGGGAATAAAAAACTAGGCAGTCCTATTTTGGAATTTTCAAACTGTTTTAGTCCTATTTCGGGAACTTTCCCAAAAACATAAAAAGAGCATAAGAAATACTACCTCCGTCCCATTTTATGTGTCTTAGTTTGACTTGACACAACTATTAATGAAGTTGTTGAAAAAGTAAAAGTTGTGGTTGAGGTTTGAGTATAATAAAGTGAAATGGTGTACGCCACATATTTCTTTCCTAAAAAGGAAAGGAGACACTTATTTTAGGACAACCCAAAAAGGAAAGTAGGACAGGTAAAACGGGATGGAGGGAGTATGAAAATAACATAAGAACATAGAAAGATAAAGAAGAAAAGAGAAAACGAGAGTGAAAAGAGAGAAAGGAGATCAATCGCCACACGGATATGCGCCCTCCATTTTGCACTCTCCAAAGTCATATTCTCATCCAACCCAAGAAAAAACATATCAGTTGTGGTTCCTCTAATCCAAATCTGTTTGGGTTTTCCTCTCCCTCTCCTCCCCACCTCTTCTCCCCACCCCTCAAGTCGTCTAACACCTCAAGTCATCTAACAGTTGCATCAGTCGGTCTTCTGCGCATATGACCAAACCAACGTAATCGAGCGGTCTATTATTATAAAAAATAATTAACTCCAACTAGTTGGGGTCGATGGTATTAAAATTATAGCGCCGATTAATTTTATGAAACTAATTGACGCTATACATTTATGCAAAATGCATAGTGGCAAAGTTTTACGTAGGATGCCCTTCGTTGCAACCTTCATAAGAAAGAACAATGATGAGATGAAAATTTGAAAACCGGTAACTAAACATTCCCCAGTACAGACTATGATTTTAGTAGAATGCTATATACAACAACATTCAAGCCTTATTCCCAAAAGATTTTGGGTCGGCTAACATGAACTGGTCCATGATAGTGGAGCCAAAAAGAAAAGAAAGATAAGAAAAATAAAAAGATAAGTTAAGATAAAAAGATAAGATAAAGAGAAAGATAAATATAAGATAAAAGAACATAAGAAAGATTAAATATAAAAATAACATAACATAAGAAGTAGTTTGTGGATCTTTATTTATTGAACAAAGCTAAAGTCATTATTGTAGCCAAATTTGTTAAATAAGAAGATACATGCAAGCATAACATTTGAAATATTACCTCGATATCTCGTCGCCGAAGTTCCTCCTTCTTAGCTTCTGAGCGAGAATTACGTTGCACTTCAAAGACAAGAGCTGCTACAGCCACCTGTTCAGGACTATTCTAAAAGTTACCCAACAGATATGTTAACTAAAAGACATAATTCGCGAAGTAATATGTTGCTCTGGAATTGGAACATCACAAAAGATAGATATTCTTTTTTTTTAGAGACAGAAGATAGATATTCTCTTCAACACCTACCAATATAGTTATGATCTCATTATGTTCGCCAGAAACCAAAACCACAATGAAAAGAAGATATGAACAAAAAACAAGTAGTGTGTCAATTCTACGATAGAAGAACAAGTTGACTAAGAAGAAATGGTCCCTAACCATAAAGGACGAAAATATATATTCTAACCAGATTTAACCAGATATTGTCATTTTAAGAAAGGGTATCAACTCTAAGGTTTGATTGGTTAACATGTCTGTCTATCTGTTATGCTATTCATTCATTCATTTGATAGGCTTAATCAAAAGAATAGTACAATATAAGATTGGGACTTTAAATTCCTAAACAGTCATACAGGTCTCCAAAGTGTGAAAAGGTAGCTAACATGTACACAAATTTTAGTAGAAAAGTTAAGTTCTAGCATGTTGTTTTTCCCTTTGTAATGTTTCTATGATGAAATATGGGTGTTGCAATGAGCAAATATTGAGCATAGTTGAGGAAATTACAAGTTAACTTATAGAATCAGACAATTTAACAAAATCAGGTAGCAGCAACAACGATAGCATCTAAGCCTTATTCCCAAAATATTTTGGGGTCGGCTAACATGAACCGATCCATGAAATCAGAGTCAAAATAAAAAGAAAGATAAGAAAAATAAATAGATAAGTTAAGATAAAAAGATAAGAGAAAGAATTCGATTGAAGTAGGTTAAACTCATTGCAGGAATTGCTGAGTATAACCAAGCTCGCTGAGTTTGATCCTTGATAGTATAACCCAGTTTGAACGCTCATAGATTTCTAATTTATACTTCGTAGTATAGACAAAAGGGATACCGTTAAGACAGATCTTTGAGTAAAGTTTCAACTTTCAACCGAGGAATGCTTTGTTCCAAAAATCCTTACCAGATATGCACTTTGTGATAGGGACACGACTGCTAGTCTAAATAAGGGGAATAGATTTGGGCAAGTGTATTCTAGAAGGCCTAAATCGACTAGCTCTGTTATTAGTAAAGTTGTTAATAACTAATAACAACCTTCTATGGGGGGAAGGTTATAAATAGAAGGATTCGAGCAGCAGGAAAGGAGGCTGTTAGACTGTTAGTCTTGGGATTGGGAAGTTGGAGTATTATCTCCTTCTTGGAACTGTCTGTATTGTCTCTCTCTTTTTGAATAAAGTTGTTGATTGATTTCTTGAGTTGAACTCCTATTGTGTAGCTAGAATTCTTATCCGATTGTTGCCAGATTCTGTTTTACCTATCACTTTGATCAGAAAAATGGCCAAAAGGTCTGATACAATTAGCTCCCGGATGCTACCAGATGACTTGCAGTTTTTTATTTAACTTACAACCATAACAGTCTCATTTGAAATTCACTACACATATATGCATTCATGTATCATTCACTGTAGTTCCAAACTGCTGATTTAGATAGTTTCAATAAAAAAATCTATCATTCAGGTCTTCAAGATATAAAACTAAAACAGTTACCTGAGTTAGGGAGTACCAAAGTAGTAAGGGTGTAACAGTCCCTTTAGTATTACTTAGTCTCATTTTTGGAACTTCAAAAAAAGGTCTCTTTTTTGTCCACATCTCTTTTTTTAGTAATATTTCAGACATAACCCTATTTTATTAACATAGCAAGAAGGGGAGCCTTGGCACACCAATTAAGGTGTTGTTGTTGTGTAACCAAGAGGTCACGAGCTCAAATTTTGGGAGCAGCCTTTTGTCAAAAATTTGACAGGGAAAGGCTTGCTCCTTATACAATCTTGTGGTGGAACCCTTCCCTGAACTCTAGCCTTGCGAGGATGCCTTTGTCACCAAGCTGGCCTTTTTTAATTTATTATCCTAGCAAAGCTCCCTTTTGTAAAAAGGGATTGCATGCATATGAATGCAGAAAACAAGGAAATAGAAATCCTAGAAAATCACTTCCTAAAATAAATTAAGTAATGAAGGTACTAAAAATCAAATCATAATAAATCAATCAGCTATTACTCCTCAATATTCTACTTGATTGCTCTTTTTTATCTTTCCATAATATTATACTGTAGCATGCATCAGAGCACCTGTGTCTGTCCATATATTTTAGGGCATCGTTACTGTCAATAATTTACTCATATAACTTTGGACAGACTGGTGAAGTGTTAAGTTTCCCAGAACCTGGTGGCTTCCTCACTAACAAGTAGCAGCTTTATATGCTCACTGTCATCTCAAACTAGTAATGCATCTATATCATGACGATGAGTAGTTTCCGACCACTTGAATCATTCCCATTGGCACCAACATATATTTCCATGGACATTCCCCAATGGGTCGACTAAATTAGTTCCTTCTTATAAATTATAATAAATGTGAGCACAAACAGTCCATAAGAGAGGTATACAAACACGTTTCGTGGAGGTAAAATGGAAAGTACCTACCGAGAAAATAAAAATTTCCCCAAAAAGGTCTACAGCATTCTGTACAGCTTTCTCCTCATTCAATGGTCGTATTTCAACATCCGTTGCATGACCATAGATACGTCTTTGCATTGTCGTTGTGATTCGGTGGTTTGCCTGTATAAAGCAATAGTAAAGATAAAGATAAAGAAGACATTCGTCACTTGCAGAGATTTCAAGTTAAAAACAGCAAACTATTCTTAGAGAGCTAGTGCAGAGAGTTATTAGCCTCGATTCCTTGAGACCAACAACTGCTCTAGTGCTCTGCTAATCTAAAAATTTAACACATCTATTCCAGCTGAAAGGAATAAGAAATCTTTTTATACGCTCTACTGAATATACTTTTGCTAAAGTTTTCCTAACAGCAAATTAATGAAATGAATTGATAAGTATTACACAAATCCCATGTTAGGTCCACGCCTTTCATTGTGCACACATTTGAGACATGACTATTCATTCTTGCTCATCCGTGATCCTTCCAGCCGGCGATTATAAGCACCGAAATTTTATCGGGGTTTTACGCACCGGAAATTTAGCTGGAAGGGCCACTAGTGTGTAAGAAACAATTATCGTGTCAAAAGTGGACAAAGCCAAAAATATGGATTTATGTGAGATAGGTATAATACTTGTAGGACCAAAAGTGAAATTTATCTAAAATAAAAAGTACTCCGTAATAGATAACAATAAAAGTCATCTTAGAGTGAAAGTTGTGAAACCTGCATAACAAATTTCATTGATCCAACATTAACGGATATAACTCCGTCATGTAATCATTTTTGGTATCATGCATCCAAGCCATGATAGAGGAGGAGGATGTTGTGGTATGTGCGCGACGACCAACAATATCACTTAGTCACATCACATTGACATGATACGAAATATGAATATCGTTGCCGCTAGGTCGTCATCCGTAATTCTGTAAGTGACTCGTCATCCCTCCGGCCTCCAATATACATGGCACGGCGTAAGTCGAGTCGCGTCGCCAGCCAACGGCCATATCGCCTAGGCAATAAGTCACTCGCCTAGGCGACTAGTCATATATTGTATAATACTACGTATATATTATATATATAATTATATTTATATATAATTATGTATGTAATTATGCATTATGTATAATATATTACTAATTAAATTGTATATCACTTAGAATTGAAACCCACAATTAATAAATAAAAAAATGGAAGAAATAGGCTTAAATCGATATCACATCATTCAGATAATGGGTAAAACTAGAAAAAGACCACTAGCAACCACCGACCCTTGCACCAGACTCAGAGTTAATCACCTCTACAAAAGCAATATAACTCGTTGATTCATTAATGAGCGCAAATTAGCCAAAGACGGTTAAAGCATAACTCCCGTCACCCACATCCAAATCCACAATTTTACAATAAAATAAAACACAAAACTGAAAGTAAACAGTATACTCCAAACAATTAAAAGCAGAAACGCAAAGAAATAAAGCTCTTGCCTCGTCTTCCAAAGCACCACTATCATCCACATTCCCGAACCCTGCTTCAGTCTCAGATGCTTCGGCGGGCCTAAGAATCGGAGCCTGCCTACTCCCGGTTTTTGGCATGTCCAGAACCATGTTATCCCCAACTGGATTCTCTGCTTCCTGAGCATCCCAGATTCGCCTGCGGTTTTGCTTCCCTGACACTTCCTCGGTGCTCCCAATCTTCCCATCTTTTCTCGTGCTATTAACTGTACCCGATGTGGATTCCTTCCTATCCCCTCCTGCTCTTCCATCCGACTTGTTATCCTCTTTGAGATGGAGTCCCCAACCTGAGCTCGATGACCCATCTACTAGCCATTTGTTACCTCCTGTAGGACTAGTCTTCACCCCACCACCCGCTCTAAGGTGCACCCCAAAAGTTTTTTCCAGTACCAGGTTATCCTCATATGTCAACGGACAGAACTTATCATAATGACCAATAATACCACAAATAAAACAAAAATTGGGTAGCTTTTCATACTTAAAATCCACCAAGTGGTCGATCCCTCATATGTTGAGGGTTGTACCTTTTTTCAGAGGATTTTCCACATCCAAACATACCCTGACACACAGATAAGCTTCTCATTTTTCGTCAAATTGGTTTTTATCATAGCTAACAAATTTACCAATAAAATTACCAATTCTTCTTGCAGTGCCTAGATTCATGAAACTATAAGGAACATTATGAACTTGTATGCCTCATTGAGACTAATCTAAAGCGGAATGTCCTCCGCCTCATCTCTTTTAGAATCAGAGGATTCTTTCAAACTGCCACGAGCCGCCCTCTAAGACACATTTCATATCCACAATATGATAAAAAGTAAAGAGATACATTTTGTTGCCAATTTCTTTAATCGACACACCTTTTCATGGCCTCCACAAAAAGCCATAACCTCTTTGAAAACTGGAAATTTGATCTTCCTATCAGTCAACATAGCACCCACAACTGGAAACCTCGGTCGTGCCTCCTCCGCTGTTGGATCTTCAAACTCATCATCATCCAAGTTCAACTCCTCACGATCCCCACCTATAGCCATCTTCTTATGTTGATTAACAATTGTTTCCATCCGATGCTGCCTACTCCTAAAGAGATCGGACCCACCCACCCCGTCAAATACCCCGGACTCTGCCCTTCCTCGCGTAGGAGAAGACCTCGTCGTTGCTACCACTGCTTGCCTCCAACACCTCTGCGCTCCGTGACCACTCACCCTCACCCGAAGCTGCTGGATAACAAAAGATCCGCCTTTGGTGGCCACTCCTCGACAATGTCGATAGCGGAAAAACAAACACTAGTGGTAGAGAACCACCCTAGAGAGAGTATTTTTGAAACCCACGATTAATAATTGAATATAAGGTTTATTAATGGGAATTAAGAGTAAAAATGTTTGTCTCAAATAAGCATTGTAAAGATCAAATTACTGAGTTTTCAAAAATCATCAAGGACTAAATCATCTCTACGGCCTTCATGGCCCTAATCATCATCATCACGAGTAAGAGTAGGTGGTGTTTGGGCATAGTCATCTTCAACATTATTTGCAAAACTATCTTCTTCATTGTTCATGTCTTCATCAATCAACTTTAATGAATAATTCAAACCATGGCGTCAATAATAAATCGGTTCTCCGCGAGAGCCACTAGTTCTAGGAAGATTACAACTCTCAAGATTGTTTGATTCACAGACAACTTCATCAGCTTAACTCCATAAAAGATCATCGGCGTATGAACAACATCGTTGCTAACTCATTATTCATTGTCTAATTGGAACTCTTCAAATATTAACGGGTTGAAGCTCATTTCTTGTTCACGCCGCTTCTGAAATCTATTTGCTATCATTCGATTATACTAAATAAAAACCAAGTCATTTAATCTCTTATGCTCCAACCTGCAATACATTTGATTAGTATTTTGATTGAATTAGTCAAAATATTATATAATTTGTAATTGTAGTTAGTACTCTAGCACTACTACTTACAAACTTAAAAGTGCTCCAATTACGCTCATAGCAAGAAGGGGTACAACAGAGACCAATTATGCGTTTTGCGAGTGATTGCAGTTCAACAGTGAGTCCACCAAAAGCTTCCCACCAACTTTTGAAAAACTGGTTTTGATTTTGTTTCTGCTTTCTAAAAAGAATCAAAATTAATTCAAACACCCCTTAAAAATTTAATGACTCAACAATTCAGCAACTCAAGTCTAAATGTCAGATGCGTCATAGGCCCATAGCATGTATATCATTATATCATAATATCATTAAAATTGAAGTATATATATATACACGTATATTAACATAGGGTGAGGTTCAAATAAGAAGAAGTCTTTATGTGAGAAATGAGAATGAATCTCAGCCGTTGGATTCGACTATTTTGCAGTAAAAACACTTGATATTGCATTGCAATATGCAACCTAGTTTGGTGGCATTTTCTGAAAAATCGGTATTACAGCCGTCTAGTGCAACATGAAGCAGTTTTGGTGCAACATCGTCAAATATTAGTGCAACATGAAACAGTTTCGGTGCATCATTGCCAAATTTAAATCTTACCGCAACATTAAGCTATTTTTAGTGCAATATCGTAAATCTAACGGTTGAGATTCATTCTCATTTCTCCCATTAGATGCATTTCTCACTTGAACCAAAATCTATTGACACACACACATATATATATACACACACACACACACACTTTTAATTCCCGGAGAGGCCACCAGAGTGGGGAAAAGCGCCGGGGAACACTTTCCACTTTTATTAAAAAGATGAAATTACAAACAGGTTTCAACATGAAAACAACAAGTAAAAGCAAAAACATAAAGTTTAATAGTTAAAATGTTTTGGCACCCCGACAGTTGTTGCGAGCGACCGGTTGAATTTGTTATGAAACTGGATTGCCCTTTGTAGATAAGGAGGGTAAGTTTTTGCCTCTAGATGTAACGACTTATAACGTTTGAGGCCTGTGACAAGCTTTTGAGGCGAATCATAGTTTGAGTAGATCGGGTAGATGTAGTAGTCCCCGTCGTCCTGAAGCGTATTTGATTGGTTTCTGGTCATCGGGTGGTTCTCAGGGGAGATCACCAATGTAACTTGTTCCTTAGCCTCTGCTATCACATGTGCATTAGTTGGATCTGTTGTCTGGTCTGAGATATCCTCAATCGCCTTCTCAACCCATCGGATCATATCTGAGCCTTCTGAGACTATGTTCTAGGCCTCTTTGTCACCTTTTTTCTCATGGGGAGTGATAGAGGTTCCAGCCTCATCATGCGTTTCTTTAGCCAAATCTTCTGTATTCTTAGCAACTTCCTTGTGTTTCTCCGCTAGCCTTTTGCAAATAAATGGATAATGCCATATTCTTTGCAATGAAAGCGAAAATCGGATAAGTTTCATACACCAATGATTGCTTAATAATCGTCCAGGTAGAAGCTCGTTTCTTGTTCACGTCGCTTCTGAAATTTAGTTGCTATCATTCGATTATACTTCCTCCGTTCGGATATAGTTGCAACACTGAGGTTCGGCACAGAAATTAAGAACCACCCCCACTAACTTGTGTTTTCCCTTTATATCCTTGGTTACTCCAAGGGCGGGTAAATACTTGAACAACAAAACCTGCTACAGTGTTTCGTTGGTAAC